AGCAAGGGGGTATTTGAAACTCTGTTGTCCAACAGCACAGATTTGGAGATTACAAAATCAGCAACTACAATGATGGATATTTTTAAGAGTATTTTAGCATTAACGATAGCATTGTTCCCACAAACACATTTTATAAATAAATCATACTTGTGCTTATTTTTAAAAGCTCTTGTTCTCAGGAAGAAAAAAAAAAGCTTTGAATAAGGAAGTATTTTCCCTTTGAAAAATTACTGTCCTGTTGTTTTGGAGGGGAGAAAAGGTAAAGAAGCGGCTAAGAGAAGATTAGGTGTGTGTGAGAAAGGGATGATAGGATCTTTGTCTCAGAGTGAGGGTTAAATGAAATAATCCAGGTGAAGCACTTAGAACTGTGCCTGACGGTAACTGCACAGAATAAGTTGCTATCATTATAATCGTCCCCATCTACCTCTGAGGGAATTAGCTCAGACTTTTTTTCCATTGAAATTTACGCAACAGATTCTTTAGTAATTCTGAAAACTATAGTAATTTCTAAATATATAGGGAAGAAATACAATAGTCTTTGCTCTGTTTTCTGACTTTATCGTTTTTCATATTGATCTGATGAGACTTCTGACGTTCATTACTTACAAGAAGAACCGAAATAAATATTTTAAATGTTGAACACAACCATGGATTACAGGCTAAACGTCTGTGGCCAGGCTTCGCAGAAAGAGCAATATTCTTCTCAGTTTGGCTTTCTCCACTCAGTTGTACCTGACAGCTGATCACTGGGCCTGTAGAATTTAATCTTGAGAAGGACTGAAATACATGGCTCTTCCTGGGACTCCGTTTGTTGTTTTGCGGTAGTTCAGATAAGTGCTAGTGATGGGAAAACCTCAGGCTCTTGCGTGGGTAAGTACCCAAACATCTAGTCACTTCGTCAAATGTCTCCAAACCTCTTCACCTTGAAAGGATCCTGACAAACGAATGACGTTTTCTGGAACCTGCTGTTATCACTTAGAGTAGCATATCTCTTAGTATCTTGCAAGATTTGGTGTCAGGAATTCGGAAAGGCTGTGGGAAATAAAATAGAATTTACAGAAAGGAAGAAAAGTAGAAGCTAACTTTTTGGAAAGTGTGCTTGTTTAGTTTACTTGTCATCCCTGGCCTGATTTCTGCAGGCACATGTAGCCTTAATATGAGAATGACAGATTTGCCCCTAAACACAAGGCTGCTGGGGCTGCTCAGAGAGACCTGCGGAACCCAGGATGCTCCGAAAATGCCCTACTTTGTGCCATGGTCCCCATTTTAAACAACTCAGATTCTTGCATTTCATTTTTTAAATTCATGCTACACAAATGTAGTAATAATGCTACTTCTAATATGGAAGGCAATTAAATATTAGTTTTTTACATGAACATTCTTATAGCCAATGACTACGAATGAGTTTTGTAAGATGCCCCAGAGACCTGGGGCCTCGGAGGGTAATGCTGCTGACAAGGAACATCCTCCAGTTTTAGTGGGTAAGAACTTGATAGTGAGATTCAAAAACCAAAACGTAACCAACACTGCTGTTTTTAAATGAGGGGTGAATATCCACTCTGACTGTGGTCTCTGAAGCACCCGAGTGCAATTCAGGAGTTCCCACTTCTGAGAGCACTGCAGCCACATACTGGGGACAGGGGCTGCATTGCCCAGACTTGGCACAGGAGGCCCCTCCGAACCATGCAGGGTCTGCAGAGTTCCTTCCCTGAGCAACGCCAGCCCTGTCCCCATTTGCTGCCTTATCACCAGAATAGGGTCATAAAAACGCTACAATCCTGGCCCTAACCCTGGTATCCTGACATTGTTGCTAAGAACCAATAGCCAAGTGGGTCAACCAAAACCAATCAAGTTGTGGATCTTAATTTGTTATGAAATATGCTATCTTCTGGTCCTCAACTGAGTTTACATCCCTCTGATTCTCCCAACTGCAGAAATCCCTGTAACTTCACTGAGGCAATGGTCTTAGGACTAAAGTGCCCATGCAACTAGCCTGCCACTGATGGGGAGAGTATTATTTTCTTACCCATAGTCACTTAAGTAACTGCTGCTCAATAGTGAACACCTAAAATGGGATCTTATACAAGAGTTCAACACATTTTTCTTGAGTAAATTAATAAAACAATGAATCAATTGATGAAAAACTTGATGAGTTGGTACATGTTTGTAAATCTTTGCATAGCTGGGCTAGAATGAAGATTTTACAAGGTATAATCCAATAAATTATAAGCCCTGTGAGGATGGAAGTGGTATCATAATCTTTTTCTGTTATTAAAAAAAGTTTCCTCCATAAGGCTACACTTGAATAGACATTCAGTAAATATTTACTAACTGAATCAAATCATAGAAATTACACAAGATTTCGTTTTACAGCCTTCATTATCCACACAGTAACTCTATAAAAGCATAAGTACCCTGAAAAAAGTCACTTTTTTTAACAATAAAGACAATGAAAGTGAAAAGCTTATCTTAAGAAATCATGCGCGTTTCCTGGGGGGAAATCTTCAGCTTTGCCTAAGGTGATTGAGATATTTCTAAAAATGTGATGTCTGCAGCCCCACCCCCTCATCCTCTGTACCTCGACTTTTATGTGGCATTACCCTTTGGTTTAGACTCATAGCTAGACCAATGAGCATGTGCTGGGGGGGCAGGTCTTATTCTGGGGTAAAAAAAAAAAATCTGTTTCTATGGCTAGAAAAGGGCAGAGAGACTGCTTCAGCTCGGACAGTCTCCCTCCCCCGTTTCAGCTATCTTCCCCTCTCCTCAGTGATCCAGAGCATTAATTCTCTTTACACCAGGTTCATTAGAAAGTGGTTAATATGGGAGACTGGCAAATCTTTATAACCGCACTTTTAACACCACTTACACTGCTCCAAGGGAATATCTGTCAATTTTACATGAAAAAGGCTAAAGCAAAGGTTTTAAGGGAAAGCCTCCTCCTCAGAACATACTTCAGGTAAAAGCACTTGGGACTCAAATGATCTCAGCACCTGCTTCAAGGCTCCCATTCAGTGTGCAGGTGAAGGCCTGTCTCATGGACAGATGGCCTAGGCTGCTCTGCTGCAGTCTGGCAGTGGCTCAGCAGTGTGAAAACTGTGAATGTTCCCTATTCTCTATTTGCTAAGTAGAAAATATTTTCTAACCAAATTTGGTGGACAATACCTGCCAAAAACTTCTCCTACTAATAAAGGAGAGAGACAAACTTACATGAACCAGAAGGCTAGAAGAGTCCCTTGGTACAGAGGTTATTGTCATATCAAGTGAAAATTTGGGATCCACTAACAAAGCCATTAGAGTGAAAGAGACCATTGTTACAAAAACCCTTCCCATGCCCGATATCAAGAGCAATCTTGCATGGGGAGAAGCTCATGAAAACTGAGTGGGGTGCATTGTGTCCAATTATGAAATGAGGGGAAAAACTGCACTAATTTTTCTTACAGAAAAAAATTATCAGAGACATACAGGTGAGTATTTGAAAAAAGCACAACCAAAATGTTTCGACCTTAATAAATGGAACAGCTTGCTCATCTGCACAGCTGATCTGCCACTGTCTTGCAGGTTTGGGGTTAGCATGGCTACATGCTCTTTGCACCCTCCCCATTGCCACACACTGTTGGCAAATGCCTCCATCACTTCAGGCAAGGAGCGGCAAAATCAGAACACATCCCTATCGACCAGAGAGAACCCTTTCGATCAGCAAGTTACACAGCTGTACAGAAAGCTGACTCCTTGCGTGATAAGAAGCCAATAAGAACCGGGAGGAAGTTCTAGGTGAATGACTCCAGATTGGACACAGGAAGTCAGAATTAGGGAAGTTCCTCTTTGGGGCTTATAATCATATATATATAAATTACAAACACAATTAGCGAAGCCCTGTTTTACTCCATTTTGCACGTGGAAGTGGAGCTAAGGGATGGGGAAGCAATATTAAAAGGGAAGGAGGATTTTCTGAGAACCAAATACATGATGATCCATTAAACTGTACCAGGCAGTCTCCTTCCTTTCAGTGGTCAGTTCACTGACATGTCTCATATTTTCGTTGAGGGAAGGCAATGGGAGGGCTAAAAGGTAAGAAGATCCTTAAAAGGCAATGCCCTGATATCAGGCGACCAAGAAACCTACAAATAGAGACCGCTGCAGGTAATTAAGCATTCTATATGGAACAGTTTGATCTGCACGGGCCATCAAGGTGGTCTCAGTCTCTGAGATGCCGCAGTGACCTAATGGGCCAGAGCGCAGAAGCCGCTGTTTCTTCCTGAAGTTGAATCATTTCATGTAATGTGACCCAATTTTATTGAGCATCATTGTTGAATTAGCAAAAGGCTTGCTGAAGTTAAACTCACTTTCTTAGCACTCAATCCCAAAAGAGCGAAATTGTGTACATAATTCTTTCTTTCAATGGATCAGTGCTGAGAGAAGACTATTACCAAGGACCATGGGAGACAAAAAGGTAATTCCTACTGATAAAATTAGCTTTTTCCTGGGCAGCCTGTTCTACCCACAACCCTCTCTGTGGCTCTTCCTTTCAATGTTCCCTTGTCCAGGTTACTTCCACCTATTTTTGCAGAAATGCTCTCTGCATACTCAGGAGGGTCTCCCGTGCTTCACCTGTATGAGGAAGGAAGATGAAACTGCCTAAAAGGCCTTGACAATGGGGCGTGGCACTATTTTTCTTATATATTCAACACTTTCACAGACACAACAAAAAACAAATTACTTGAAGCCTAATACCTTATATTCAGCCTCTTACCAAAGAAATTTTATTTTTGTGGTTTTTTAAAAGCTAAAATGTTACTGAAAACAAAATTTTCTCAACTAGCTGCTTCAGAACAATATACTGTATTATGAAGCTCCGTACATTTTAAATGTTTTTGAAACAGTGCCCCATTTTTTTCCCTTGAATTTTGAAATTGAAACCATTTTCTTCCACTTCCAGGCTCTTCTGCATCAAGACCAGGCTGTTGGATGGAAGGAGCCACTTGAAAAGTGCATGAGGAGTGAGCGTGGGAAACACATACATGGAATGCCCATGGGCTGGAGGTGGCACCGGCCAAGGAAAGGCTCTCGCTTCTGCTTCCACGGTCCCCGCCAGGGCAGCCCGCACCGGCCAGGCCAAACCAAGACAGCAGGAAGAATGGCTGTACAATGGGTCCCCTTGAATCATGCTACTAAAAAAAGGTGCAACGAGAAACAAGTCCCTGTGCATTCTTAGTCACAACTATGGGCAGAAGAACCCATACGATTCCTCCCTTTGGTATTAAATAACAGTTTAAAAAAGCTTTTTAGAAACAAAGCAAATACATGGTGGGACTGGAAATGTTGGCCATCCCAGGTTAGTTGTCCACTGAAATGAGTCTCATCCCTAGTCATAAATAAATAATCTCTCTCCTGGTCTGACTTCCACACCAGGATCAATATCTCTTAACATCTTACTTATTTTATTACTGCTTTTGGTTTTCTGGGACTGATTGAAAGTTGCTCAGAGGAAATCTTTGGTTTTGCTTAAGTGTCCGTGACATTTAATCATGACTTTCCTTGCAGTTTAATTCCAACCAGTCAATCAGTTAATCCACTTCGATTGATTCTGGGCTCTCGGTTATTGGCTTGCACTCATTGGGCATCCGCTGGTGTCGGCTCAGCTGGGTGGCCTGCGTGAAGCTCCTCTCACACCTCTCGCACCTGGTGGAGGCAAGAGAGAAAATTGAGACCAGGGAGCGGGGCCTGCAGGGTGATGGGCTTCCTCTCATCCTGCCTAATCAGAACAGACACTCCAAAGTGGCTTCAGATTTTCCCGGCTCAAGAGGTTTAATTGGTGGCTCCTTCCAAGGCCCGGGTGCCTGTGATGGGACAAAGCCCGTCTGATGCAGAACAGAGGGATCTGTCAATAGGCAGGGGAAGGTGATTTCTCCAGAGAGCCCTGTCCCGTTGCAGCTCTGATCACTGTCAGTTCAAATAGATAAAGAACAAAAAGAGATTTTTAGGAGTGAGCCATCAAAGCAGCAGCTTGTCTGCAGTTTTCTGCTCCGTAACCCGAAAGAGAAATTGATGACAAATAGAATTTCACCTGCTGCTAATTTAAAATCGGGAATTCTACTCCCCTCAAAACAGCAGCTGAGGGGTGATTGTCTCGGCATTTGGAAACCAGAGGAAGCAATACATTAGTTTGCGGGGACTGTGCAGGGTGGGTGTGGGTGGTTGCTTTTCGTGCAAAAGTTTGTTACAGTATCGCAGCCCAACCAAACTCAGGATTAAAACAATGTTTGTGGTTGGGTAGGGGATCAAAAACCGGAAATAAACAAATGATTGTGTGGTTCAAGAAGTTCACCTCTCCAGAAAGTTCAGTGGAAGAACGGCCTTGCGGGATAGTGTGCCTGAGGAGGAAACTGGTTTCACACTTTAAGACTATTTCCTCTCCTTACAACAAAAAAAAGATTGTAATCAAGAAACCCTGGGCCTGACCTACCTCCCAGGCAACACACATTACTAACTTGATGGCTACTCAATCTAACACACACACACACACACACACACACACACACTCTCTCTCTCTCTCTCTCATGTAAGGGTGGCCTCTTGTTTTTGTGTGGCAGTTGTTGTTCCTGACTGGTTGTCTATGATTATACACGCACACACTCTCTCTCTCACACACACTGGCAGCAAGCTGGGCACAGCGATTTCCCTGTCACTACCCTGCTTGGCTGGGCTGCCTGGAGCACTGGCTGAACACCCTTTAGGACAGCAGCCATCTCAGCCATCCCCTTAACATCCTCTCTTCAAACCTTTGAAGAAAAGATGTTCAGGAGAGCTGCAGACAACAGTCTCTTTCTCTCTTTTAAATAACACAACCTTTGGTCCCAGAGTCCTTGCACTATTGGGAATGTGGCAAAAACCATCACAAGAAAGTCGTTACTGCCCTATCATGTTCCTGAGTCTTGTTATCTGGTGAGCAGTCCTCTCTTTCTCCTTTTTAGTAAATTATGCAAAGTCCCTGGCCATAGGAATAATTACCTATAAAAACTGAACACACCCATCCACTCTGGAGACTCTTACATGTTTTTGAGTGTTGGGAGGCTGGTGCTTGACTATCAGGCTTGGATTTTTCAGGGCTCCTGCGCCAGCTGTGTGTGTCAGGATGAAGAAGTTTTGTTTCTTTGATTGTCTTTCAGGGAATATTTTTAGCAGCCTGTTCCACTGTTAAAAACTGCACTGTGATCTTGACAAATGTATAATGTCAGCTTTAATGTATCAGACCTATCAGCTCAATGAAAATAACTCAGAAGTATTGATCAGCTAATGATTTTTGGTGTATTCATTAACGTCCACGGGCAGCTCATCCCCTCTCCAGAGCTCCCGAAGTGCTGATGACATGTTAGTGAATTGCTGATTGTTTATTAGAAAACTGATTAGTTACTGGATTAGTGTGTCAAAATATACTACCTTTCACTGCTTGACAAACTTTCAAATTATTATATTCCTTTTTTTTTCTTTTGAAGCTCTAGAATCAATTTCAATGAGAGCAGAACAGTTTGAACAATTATGAGGAATGGCAATTTACCTAGGTCATACTTTTGCACTTCTAACCTTGTATATTAGAATATAAAGAATTCGAAAGTAGGAAGTTTCATGCTTCACAGAAGGCAAAGTGTATGTGGATACGTAATATTTAAACATCCAGGCTGGAGAGAGACATTAAAAGGAGAGTTACATTTTTCTCAAGTGTTCGCCTAAATGCCTCACAGATATTTACTCATGGAACAATTTGTTGTAACAGTCAGGAAATTTACTAAGTCAGATCTAACCATCGCATGAGATCATTACTGAAAATTCATCTTTAGTGCCATCTGCCCACAAGTGTGAGCAGAAACACATGCAGAACCAGGCAACGAAAAATATCTATGAGGTCTGGGAACTAAACGAATACAATTTGTATTATTGAGGAAGCAAAGAGAGCTAGATATAAAAATATTTTTTAAATAACGGAAGGACTTCAGTTTTATGTATATTGTCTTTAATTTTAGAAAATTTCCTTCACAAGTTATTTTCATAGCTTAATAACACTCATCAGAAGGACAGACTCAATGCCAATGCCTACGTTCTAGCAGGCCGGATCTGGACGTCAGCTGGGCTGGCATTTAAGCCTGAACTACAATCCCAGAAGAATGACTGAGCATGGGTACCTCTAAGCCTGGACTTCGTGCAGGGGAGCAGAATGAAGGAGAGAGAGATGCAGTAGTGAGCTGGGAGCAAAGCAATGCCCTTGCACACAGGGTCCTCTTCATTGTGATGACATCACCGCCTTGGTCGCAGGAACAGTGAAGTGGGAAGTCGTCCAAATATTTCAGCAAAGGGAAAGTCCCCAACTTCCTACCAGTATGGGTGTCTTAATTAGACTTGATTTCTTTTTAGATTTGAGGTCATTCTTTACTTACTGTGATGGTTGACTGGATTATAGGTACAGGGAGTTTAACAATTACCATCTGAAATTGACAGAGATGCAAAATAATGTCAAGTTCTGTTACTTTCTGTGCCTCTAGAACCTGTCAAAAAATACTTTATGAATTGAACCAAACTGCACAGGGCTTCATACATATGATGCTCTCAATGCATCTTTACTGATGTGCTTTTTAAATTTGCTTTGATTTTGCCTTGATCTTATTAAAGTATTAGATGTTCTCTGGAATACCCTTTGATTTTTTTTTTTTTGATTTTTTTTTTTTATGCTGAGCCAAACTGTCTTTACTTAAGGCAAAAATGTAGTGATGAGTATTTTCCCCTGCTTCTAACAGAAGAAGAGAAGAACCTCTCCTAGGGAAAGTCCTGGTCTTCCCAGGCACAGAGCCAGGCATGAAGCAGCTCACTTGGATCCTTCCAGGCAGAGGAGCCTCCCTGAAATCTTGAAAGACTGCGTTTAGTAATAGGAAAGGAGAAAGGGTTTCTCATTGCAAAGAATAAGTTTTAGACTCCTTCCTTCCTTCCTTCCTTCCCTCCCTTCCTCCCTTCCTCCCTTCCTTCCTTCCTTCCTTCCTTCCTTCCTTCCTTCCTTCCCTCCCTCCCTCCTTCCTTCCTTCCTTCCCTTTTTTCAATGAAGTGCTTGACAACTGCTATTAAATGAAATGATGTTTCGCTTTTGTTCCTCATTCCCCAGGACTCCTGGTCTCACAATACAAACTGAAAGCCAAGACCTTTAATATGATCCTTGATGTGTATTTTTCCTATGTGCTCCTTTACCTTAGAAATTCTAAGTCTACAGCCACATCAGCTGCTGACAGGCCTGTGATCTACCTAAAGCATAGGGGATGGAGGCTTTCGGTGGGAGTTCAGCCAATCAGACTGGGATTAAAGCCTGGAATGTGACTGCTCTCTGAATGCCAAACCTTCTCCAGCCTTCTCTGGATGGCAATAACCTTGATCTGCCTTCAAAAACTGTGTCTCCGCAGAAGGTTTTAGAGGTTGGAAAGATGTGGTAGGTTCAATATGGCCTGGCCCCTGAGAATTCTGTGAAGGACCTCCTGGGCCCTGGGTGGGTGGAACAATTTGGGGACTGAGACATTTGGGGCATCTATTTGGAAGTGGCCCAAGGAGGATAGTTTAGGGTTGTGCATCTTTTACAAGATTCTTTTCCTTCTTTGCAGCATTGTTTAAGCCAATACCCATTAGTTGAAGCAGTAAAATTAACTGTTGTGGTGAAACTCATTTTATTGACTAATCTGCAACAAAAGTTTTTCTGAATGTTTGTTTTATAAGCTTGTAAAAGGACATCTTCATAATATTTACAAATGTCCTTGGGCTGGATATCCATGAGCTGTGGTTGGAAGATTCCCAAAGCTCCCCTGGGATAGTTCAATCCTGACCGATCTGTTTGTATACACTGAAGGGTTTGGCTTTCCACTTCCTAGAAAACATTCAAATCTTGCACTTATAAAATAAGCGTACACTCAGTTCTCCTCCAGGAATATATATTTGATAAGTTAAAAAAAAATCCCTACAGCCCGGCTGGTGTGGCTCAGCGGTCGAGCATCAACCTATAATCTAGGAAATAGCAGTTCAATTCCCGGTCTGGGCACATGCCTGGGTTTCAGGCTACATCCCCAGTAGGCGCGCAGGAGGCAGCCAATCAATGACTCTCTCATCATTGATGTTTCTATCTCTCTCTCCATCTCCTTTCCTCTCTCTGAAATCAATAAAGATATATTAAAAAAAAAAATCCCTACAGCATGTGGCTAATCTTAATAAGAGCAGGAGCAGAATGAACTAAAACATGCTCACAGAATCTAATCCAACCAACTCTGGTTGTTTGCCCCACCCTCAGATGAAATCAGGTTATGGTCACAAAAGCATAGTTTTAGAAAGGAAGAAGATAAAATTGCTAAAGCCCTTCAAAATAGTAATCTGATGAATTAAAAGTAAGTTAAAATGGCAACTCTATTGGAAACATGACAAAAACAGGACATTAAAGAAAAAAAATTGAGTGGAGTCAACGAGGTTACACATAAGTAACACCTTAACATTAATAGAAATCTATTTCCCATTTTGACCCTGAAACCTCTTCAATTAATTACTAAAATCTATTTACACAGCAACAAGATAAAAATCAATCTGATTCCCGGCACTGTGTCCGTCTGGCTGCCCTCTCTAATATACTGGGCCAGAAGGATTGTCAGTCCTGCGTCTCTTTTAAAAAGCTCTCTTAGAACATATATGCATAGTCCATGGACACAGACAATGGAGTGGTGAAGGCCAGGGGAGGGTTGGTGGGGGCT